CTATACCGGCCAGGTAAGTCTAGTTCTGCATTCCGAAGCTCATCAGCTGTGAGGTACATCTCAACCTCGTTCGCAGTACATTCAACGACATACATAGACTCAGAGACCTGAGTTACCATGAAGAAATCGGTCTCAGGGTCAGTACTCTGTCCTGACCAGTAGGGACGATACTGATCTAGTACCTGAGCAGCCCTCTGCTCGAACACGTTCCCTAGAGCATAGCGAGCCGCTCCCTCCTTCCAGGTGAGCGGGAACTCGAATTCTTCTGATTCAGTGTCACTGACTCGAACGTCATCATCTTCTACAGAGATCGGACAGTCTCCGCCTGAAGACGAAGTCGTGTCAGACATTGGAGTCAAGCCAGGCATTGAGTCGTCACTCAGTATCGCCCAGGAGCGCTCAGACTTACTCTCAGGCTCACAGTCTCTCACACTAGCTTCTGAGTGAGAATGCAGTGAGGGTATGTCCTCATAGTCAAATTCAAACGGTTCTCCAATGGACACAAAGGTTTCTGTCGACCTATTTAGCTCACAGAAGTCGTCCGAGACAAGTTCCCATGCGCTCCGAAGGCTAGGTACGTTTCGATAGTCGAAAGCGACACAGTTCAGCTGCAATTCAGTGGTAGAGGCCGTCGATTCAGCCAGACTTCTTAGGGCCTCAGTATCTTCGAGAATGACCTCCATATTGTACGTCGCAAGCCCTGGAGCTGCGTTCCTATTACTTGACCTTACTTGTCTTGCCCTAGGACAATTTCGAGCCATGTGGCCGCGTTCTCCGCAATTGAAACATCTTTCGGGGTCAAGGGGTGCTCTCAGCCTCCTCACTGGCCTGTTACGATCATGCGGCCTCGGAGGCCTTCGCTCTTGATTCACAGGTGGTCTGTGAAGCGGTCTGCCACGCTGACGCTCCCTTGCAGATCCTCTAACCATGTTGCCGACGAAGACACCCGGTTCCCTATTCTGAGGCCTTGGGCGATCGTGTTCACGCCTCAAGGAGTGTCTCCGGTGTCCTCCCTGGCCGAATTCACGTCTCCGAGCGTCGGGCTGACCTACTGGTCTGGCTGATGCGTTCAAGGGTCCCGGAGCGTTGTCTCTGTATCGGCCTCGTGAGTTATGGCCTGGGTGAAAGCCCCGGCCATCAGTGGCTTCGCGTGCGAGTTCGATTACTTGCGCGCGAGACTTAACATCGTCATAGGGACTTTGCAAAGTCATCATTTGTTTCCATAGTTCGCCTTGAATATATTTGTCTAACCCGAACCAGAACGCGTCAACACGCTCCTCATTTCGGTCCATACCTAATATGAGAAATAGGTTCTCCAGCTCATAAGCATAGGTTTGAATGAGGCGACCATTCTGACGTGTGTTTCGAAGCTTCTCTCGCATTTTCTGCCTGAAATCGATAGGGAAACAATAGTTGAATAGGCCAACCAGGATGTCTTTAAACTGGTAAGCCTTCGAATTTCTAGAGACTGTATTAACATAGAACTCGTGAGCACGTCCTCCTAAAAATCTAGAGACAACAGAGGCGTGGTTACGAGGCTTTACTCGATAACCAGCAAGATACTCTTGCATCTGATTCGTGAACTTGTGAAATTCAGCAAGATCCGGCACTCCATTATATTTCTCAGGCTCAATCGGCTTGAGAATGGGCACTTCTGACTTATGCTTATTGTTACGATGCCGTTTGGAGTGTTTACGCTTCTTAGATCCCCGGCGGTGCTTGTGCCGACGCCGCTTTCGACGAGACGAGCTGTCTGAGCTGCTGTCTGAGCTATTCGACGAGCCTGGTCCACTAGAGTCTTCAGAGCTCGAGCTACCAGAGTCGGATGGTGAGGGAGAACTAGACCGGCTGTTCTGGCTCGAGCTAGAACTTGAGGAACTCGGAGAACTGGGAGAGCTTCCCCGGTAGGAATGGTCTTCGCTGTCTGACCCTTTAGCCAGATTGCGAATGGTTCTATTAATAATACTTCCAGGTTCCAGCTGAGAAATTGGCTGTGGTAGCCGTCGGACATCCCTAATCCGAGGGGTTAGTTTTACCCTACTAGGCTGGCCGAGAGCGTCTTCCACGATGGTGGTAGCCATGCCTAGCGAGGGATCAGCGAAGGCGACCTTCTCCTTTGCCTTGGGGGTTTTCCCCTTAGCCTTGGACTTATCCTTAGTCGCTTTAGAGCCCTTCCGAAGGGCATCGCTGATAGACTTATTCAATCTGGCAGTTCCAGCCTCGGAGCGCGAACTCTCGTCCGCGGACAAGAGTGTTTGTTCGCCCGAGCGCCGACGGTGATGTTCGTGCTCCCATGTCCCCAATACTTCCCTGGGGTTGTCAGGGATCAGTTGCGCCCTCCTGACCTTATCCAACTCCTTTCGGAGGGCCCTTATTTGCTTCTCAAGATCCTCATGCGAGGTCGGTAGTATTTCTGAGCTTTGACGAGCCGTCGTCTGCCCGTCAAGTGTCCCTCGAGCCTTATCATGGCGCGATGACCGCACCCTCGGGTTTTCATGAACCCGGCTCTGATGGTTTGTAACACTATCATCCGATATGTCTGTTGCCATGTGAACGGAGGCCTTAGGGCGCCGTTTGGATGCCTTGACGGCGGCATAATATTGTAGGGCAGCATCTCTGGATTGCTGTTCCCCCTCCGAATCTTTATCTGACACGTAGTATTCCTTGCGCTCCTTACGCGCGGCGAGCCTGTCGAGCTCTTTCTGTTGTGCCCTCACGCCGTACTCATGCGGGCTGAGGCTTATACCGCCCCAGTTACGGGGATCAATCATTTTCCCTTTATCAATTGCGGAGGGCCCTTCCTCTTGAGAAAGCGACCGCTCCCGGGGCTTACTTACAGCGAGCATCCTTTTCTTAATGCGGCCTCTTTCTTCCTTAGTAAGTGAGTTCTCGGCCGCGTTTACAACACACCGTTGCTCCGGATTGAGAGGAGCCAGCCTCGCCGGGGGTACCTTGCCCGGTCGAGGGAGCGCGGCATCCAAACTACGCGCGCGGGGTTTCTTACGATGCACCTCGGTCCATTGACCGGCACTACTGACGCTGTCCGACGCGACATTAGTCGCCGTCGGGTTCACACTGGGTTCTATTACAGAAAAAGGGGTTATATTCTCCTTATTAGAAGGGGATAGGGGTGACTCCTCAGCAGTACCAGCCTGCGAGGAGCGTATGCGCGGATATGCCTCCCGCCCGTTAGACGGGACGGTGTCTGCTCCGGAATCCCGTGGGTCTGCCGCCCGGTCGCTATGCGACGCGGTGTCTGCCCCAGCACGATTGGACACGGCCTGGCTGTACGAGACACCAGGCCGGCGGATGCTAGATCCGGAGCGAGCGCTCGAAGCCACCGACGCGGCGTCTGAGTGCTCGCTGTCTGAAGCAGACGCATCAGTACCTTGGGCAGAGAGGTTAAGGGACGTACCAGGAGGCGGTGCGAGACTGCTGTGAGCTCCCGGACGAGGACCCGATGCGCGAGGTCTCAGGTTGTACCTGATGGTAGACATCTAGAGATGAGTTTGTTAGTTTTCGAGTTTTTACCTATTTTGATTTGGGAGAGAAGACGCAGATAGAGAGTTAGAGAGGAGAGAGAGATGGGGTATTGCTGCCAGAGAGGAAGACCAAGTTGATCAGACTCAGGGAGATCCAGTCGTCGGCAGCGAGAGTTAAGAGTTAAGCAGTAGAGTCGATAGTTCTGTCAAAAATATGTCGTGTGGGCGATTCCGGATTAGGAAGGGGACACGCAACACGAGAGCGCTGAGACTAGACAGGTTCAAAGACTCTTGATTCCGTCTAGAGTATGTTGGATTTCCCGCATGACGCGTTAGGCGCTGTGGACCGGCACTTCCCGTCAGCACATATTCAACACTCATCACACCCAACCGTCCCTCACTCGTTCAGTCATCTCCACGAGTGAGGGTACGTCGCTGTCTACATTTTCAGCCTACATAGTGTACTCACAGAACCCTGTAGTCTCTAATACTCGGACTACAGGTAATGCTAATAAACTCGTTCAGTCATCTCCACGAGTGAGGTCTCTAATACTCGGACTACAGATTTTAACAGGTTATGAGCCCCTGTGCCTGAAGTCTTTGCCAGGCATCTCTGTAGTTCACCCTGTGTAACCCCCTTCGCCTCATTTCGGGCCACTCTATCTCTTGGCGCATTTTCGCATACTTTTGCGGCGCATATATCCACTCTTTTTGGGTTGCAGGTACGCATATAGTCGACCTTGTATTCCCCCTCGTCGTTCCCGCTATGCCTGCCAATGCAGACTCCACATCCGCTACCTCGTCTCCCAACGAAGCCACAGAGAACGCATCGTCACCCGTACCGAACGCGCAGTCGTCCCCCGCAATCTCTCTAGTGACGATACCCTCCTAGGTTCACGGCCGTCTAAGCACCTTAGAGCGACTCAGCATTGCAAAGTGCAACTGGCCCGAATGGTCCCGGCGTATTCTCAACGTTCTCTGTCTTTGCGGTGGTTCCCCGCCTCTGAAGGGTTATGTCGACGGGTCGCTGCCTTGCCCCGACGCTACCTCTTTTCCGCTGGATCACGCTAATTGGATGCAGAACAACAGCCTCGTCATCGCACTTGTGGAAGACTATGTTGAGGACGCGGACCTGCACCTCATCGCTTCCTCTCCTACTGCCCGAGACCTGTGGACGGCCTTGCAGAATCGGCACGTCAAACGAGGGGCTTACGCGCAACTCATGACCATTCAAGACGTTTTTCGCGACGACTTGGACCCGTCAAACACTACATTCGACATCGAGAATCAAGCCCGTCGTACCGCGGCGGATGTCACTCGCATGTTCCAAATGGGCCCTCTTTCCAAGGACACCTTCACCGTTGTCGTACTTCTGCACAAGATGAAGGCCAAGATGCGGCCCCTTGTGAACCAGATCGTGAATGACCAGTCTACGTCTTCCACTCCGCTGACAGCAGATCGTGTCCTCGATCGCATCAAGCATGAGGCCATGCAAATTCGAGCTGACCGCACGGCTGGTGTCTCACCGCCTACCATCGCTCTCGCCGCTACCTCCTCTCACCAGCAGTCCGCCCGGATGTGTTCCAACTGCAAGCGAAAAGGGCACTTGGCGGACTGCTGTTGGGCGCCCGGCGGGGGCGCCGAGGGTCAGCGAGAACAGTACATAGCGCGCCGGAATGCGACCTCTGCGGGTAAACCTGATCCCAGTTCCCGATTTCCGAAAGCGGGGGGGACATTCAAGGTCTATCATGATACCAGTGGTCGCGCTTTCTTCATCGAGAACGGACAGGCAGTTCCTCTTGTCGCGCCTGCGGTCCCTCCTGTTGCGCCGTTATCTGGGTCCTCGTCCGCGTTCTCCTCTCTATCTGCAGGCTGGGACTCTGTCACGAACACTAGGTCTGATACTGTTCTCACTGGCTCGCCTTCGTCTGTGTCTGCCTGGATCCGGGAACTGGACTCTGGCACTGCATTCTGTGCGAATGATGCTACCTGGTCTGGGGAGCTTCTTGCTCTGTCTGCTGATGGCTTCGCCCCTTGGTATGTGGACTCTGGTGCTTCATCACACTTGTCCCCTATCCGGGAAGACTTCACATCGCTGCAAGACATCACGCCGCATCCCATTCGGGGCGTCAACGGCTCAGTGATCTATGCGACTGCGACCGGAACAGTACATCGCGCTCTGTCCGACGATTTCGTTCTCAAGCTATCCAATGCGCTCTTTGTTCCGGATGCACAAGTTCGTCTGATCTCCGTTCGTGCGCTATGCGACAGCCCGACAAAATACAAGATCCTGTTTGACGACACAGGAGTCACTATCCTTTCCCCAGCATTTGTCCCGCTGTTTTCGTCTCTACGCCGTGGCCCGTCCATGTTCACTATTGATCCCATCCATTCTCCACGCGGAACCCCCTCTTCCGCTCTCATCGCAACTCGTGTCCCCAACATCGAAACCATCCATCGCCGATTCGGCCATATCAACTTTGCGCGTGCCTACGAGATCGCGCAACACCTGCGTTGTGAAGGTACGCCCGTCGACCTCTCTGAACCTCCCTTTAAATGCCCACATTGCATCCTTGGCAAACAGACTCGAACGTCTGTTCCCAAGCAGAGGGAGGGAGAACGGTCTAAGGCGGTGGGGGAGTTGATTTACATTGACGGAATCGGTTCCGAATGTACCATGTCCGCAACGGGAAACCTATACTCTCTGGATCTTCTTGACGACTACTCATTGTATGCCTGGACTTACCCTTGCACGACAAAGAGTGCTATGGCCGTCATCTTGAAACACTGGGTCTTTGCGATGCGTGCCATTGGTCACCACGTTCTGAGTGTTCAGTTCGATGATGGAGAATGTAATACACTGGAACTACGGGCTGCTCTGGGCGAACTGGGGATTGGTATTCGACGCACGGCATCTTACACTTCTGCTCAGAACGGCCGTGGGGAGCGCATTCATCGCACCCTTCGCGAACGATCACGGACCATGCGCATTGCTGCTGGACTGCCTGAGAACCGTTGGGACGACCTCTATGAGACCGCCTGTTACCTCTACAATCGTGCGCCCTCCTCTACACTGCCGGCCGGGGTCACACCTTTCGAGCGCTTCCACGGGCATCCACCCGCTCTCTCTCACCTTCGCGAGATTGGCTGTTGAACTTGGACTC